CCCGAGACAGCAACCATTGGGACAATCTTGGCAAGAGATGGCAGGAGGCTAAGGCAGGTGGGCACAGTGAGATCTCAGTGTGGCTTGGAAGGAAAGCTCTCCGGCTGTGGGGACTGCCTGGGCGTGGCAGGTGAGGGTGCCTCCCCTGTTTCTAGGACAGGTGTATGTCTGATGGGGCTGACATTGTGGTGGGGGCCTAAGAGTTCTGAGGTCAGTTTGGGTCTTGGGGAGGGTCACCTAGGTGAGGCGGGGATGGGGGGGGTGAGTGCACCTAGTAAGCAGCTGGGACCTGGGGCCTAACTTTAAGCAGATGCAGACAGAGCTGTTAGCAGGAATAGGGCACACCCACCTGTGCTGGAGCGCCTGGTGGAAATTGTGGGAAGAATTGCAGCTAGAGGCATTGTGACTTGAATTTGGGGAGGGTGGTGCAGATTCTAGAGGGATTTAGGAGGCAGAATCTGGAGGACAAGGTGATGGAATAAATGGGCGGGGGTGGAGTAAGGTCAGAACCAGTGCGGCCTGCCCTTGAGTCACACAGAGATGGATCCTGGTGCCAGCTGTGTGGCCTCAAGCAAGTGTCTTCATTCTCAGAACATCAGTTTCCTTTAATGTAAAATGGGGACAAGGTAGCCATGAAGATCCAGGATGTGCTCAGCAGAGCAGTGGGCTCAGTGTCTGGTGCTCACTGTCTGCATGGTGGAGCCTTGACCTCAGTCATTCAAGCGAGTGTCGTGGGGGACCCAAGGTCAGGACAAGGCCTCCACTCACTGGCAGCCTCTGCTGTTTCCCTGGGACCCATTGGAAGCACTTTGGGCAGGAACGTAGGAGGCCAGCAGGCACAGCATGCAAACCCTCTGATGACCTTGAATAGTGACCTCCCTCTCTGGGCCTCAGTATCCTGAGACAAGGCTGGGGCAGGCCTCCTTGGGGGTTTTTAGGAGGGAGCAGCAATGTGCAGCCATGTTGCCATGTCAGTGAGCTTTGGGGGTTTGGGCTTCCTTTTCTCTCCCATAAAAGTGGATGTTCCCCCTGTCATGGGCTTGTTCCAGGCGATCAGGAGATCAGCATCTGGGCAGCACACTCTAGCTGGCAGCCTGGGCAGGAGTCTTATCAGTATCCATTTAGAGCCAGTGCTCCCTCTTGCCCTGAGGGGTAGACTGCCTGCAGCGAGAACCAGCAGGTCCGAGTTTTCTGCTGAGGCTTGTTTTCAGTGTCGGCTACTCTGCAGCTGCTGGGTTGCGGCCAGGGGCTGTCAGGGATCCGAGGACCAGCTGCCTTTCATTGCTGGTATCCTTATCTAAGGAGGTCAGGCCATAGAGAAGCCCTTTCACCTGCTCCCTATCCCTTTGCCCCCATGTGCCCAGAGCCTGAGGGTCCCAGGGAGGCCCTAGTGTGAGCAGCAGCCCCCCTACACATACCTGCACCCAGGTTCTGAGGGTCAGCCCCCCTACACATACCTGCACCCAGTGAGCGCAGATTGGTGACTCCCAGCCTGCTGGCTTTAGGCTGGGTCTCTGGTCTGTCTGGGCCCCTCCTGCTGGATCTTGGGTCTTCTGGGATGGCAGAACTAAGCCTGTTACCTCTTTTCCTGTCCAGGACCCTTCCCTATTTTGTCTCCAAACCATTTTAGGGTCAGAGACCACCCCATTTGTTCACTCACTTTTCCATAAGTAATGGTGCCATATTAGCTCAGGCAGCTGCAACAATACTAGAGACTAGAGCTTAGCCAGCACATTTATTTCTGACAGTTTTGGAGGCTGGAAATCTGAGATTAAAGTTCTGACCGATTCAATTTCTGATGAGGGCTCCCTTCCTGGCTTGTAGACAGCTGCCTTCTGCGGTGTCATCACATGGCCTTTCCATGTGTGGGGGGGCGGGGGGAGAGAGATAGAGCTCTCTGGTATCTCTTATAAGGACATTAATCCTATTGGATCAAGACCCCACCCCTATGACCTCATTTAACCTTAATTTTGTAAAGGCCCATCTCCAAATATAGTCACATTGGAGGTTCAAGGCTTCAACATACATATGAGTTTGGGGCACACGATTCATATGGGGACTGACAGCTAGTAACAGTTGAAGACTTGCTCTGGGCCAGACCCTTGCTCTAGCAGTAACTCGTTCACTCCTCACAATAGCCATCTAAGGTGGGAGCTGCTGATTAGCCCATTTTACAGGCCAGGCGAGGGAAGCTCTAAGAGGAAACGTCACCCACCAGGCTCACGGAGCTCAGGAGCAGTAAAGCTGGGATCTAAACACAGCAGTTGAGATCCAGAGTCCACCCTTCTCAGCCTCGGGGATATGCTGTGACCTGCCAGCAGAGGCGGATGCTGTTTTGTTGCGCATCCTGCGTCGGGCTCCTGAACTCCCCGAAGCAGGTGGACGGTGCCTGCTCCAGACTGGGAGCAGCTTGAAGGGCCCGCTCAGGTCTGCCCAGCTCTCACCCACTACCCAGCCACAGCCCTATTAGGTGAGGGTTGGGTGGGCGCTGTCTTGGTGACTGGTTATTGACGCGGTCAGGCAAGGCCGGAGTTGGTCTGGTTTGCACCTCCTTTCTTGTGTCCACTTTAGCATTGGGCTTGAGGTGCACAGGAAAAAGGTATGAGGTTCCAGCATATCTGCCTACATAGTCCAGCGGTGGATCTCTCTCTCTCCTTCCCTGTGGCCTGTTTTTGTTTAATTTATTCATGAATCCCTTCAGTATTAGTGAACACCTCTTCTGTGTACAGTCCCTGGTGCTGGGACACAGGAGAGCAGGCTGACCTGGCCCCTGTCCTCCCAGTATGAACTGGGTGACATCGGCACAAACAGGACAGTGGTAAATGCAGGAGGCACCTCACACAGTGGGGGCTTAGGGAACCTTCCCCAGGGAGAGCAGAAGTCAGCAGGCGAGCTTCGGGGGGGGAAGATACCTAATCACAAGTTGCATTTGGATGCCATCAAGGTGGCAGATGGTTGGGGGTGAGGGGAGCAGAGGAGCAGGGCAGGACTGGGAGAGAGATGGGGCGAGGGTGAAAGATTGAGCTGAGGGGACACAGGTCTGAAGGTTCCCTTGCATTTTGGCTTGCATTTTGACACAGGTCTGAAGGTTCCCTTGCATTTTGGCTTGTGGACACGACCAGACCCCTGAAGGTCAGCCTCTAGAAAGATGGATTCAGGAGGGAAGCATTTTTTAAAGTATCATTTCAGGCTCCATCCAAGCAGAATGTTTCTGAGAGAGCTGGCTGGTTAGAGGAAGATTTGGGTGTTATGAACTGTGGTTTGTGTTGGGAGGGGCTGATATCTGACTTTTAGGCTGATAGTGCTTGCACACATATGCACTGCGTGTGCTCTTTGACCATGCCATCTAGTCCCAGGGGTCCCTGTGGCCATGACCAGCTGCTGGAGGATGAGGCCAGCTGGTGTTTGTAGTGGGCTGAAGGCCGGGCAGGCCTGGCTTTACATGCTGTGCACATGTGGACAGTTGTGGGCAGTTACACCAGAAGGGAGTGGAGCATTGTGTGGTCAGGATTCCTGGACTGGCAAATGGAGGTCCAGGACAGAAGAAGGATGGGGAGGAACCTCGGTGCTACGTGGGCGAAGGTGCGGAGATACCAGAAGTCCAGGGAGAGGAGGAGGAGGGTTATCCTAGTGACATCCGGTTCAGATCGGCACCACCTATGGATGCATCTGGCACAGGGGGACCACCTAGCAGCTCTAGGAGGGTGTCCCGATCACACCAAGGCATCCCAGGCAAAAGCCGCCGCATCGTGCAGGCCATAGCGGTGGGGCTTGTGTCGCATCGGCAAGCCCGTCTGACCATGCAGCACATCATGATGGCAGCCAGACCAGACTGGGATGTGCCAGCAAAGACCAGAGATGGGAATATCAAAGAGAAGGAGATGCATCCTCATCTTGGGACATGCAGCCCACGTGGAAGGGAGAATAATGATAGCAGGTGACATTTGTCAACGTGTCACTGCTGGGCACTCTGCTTCATGTCACTGCGGCCTGCTGCAAATAACTAACGATTCAGGCTCAGAGGCAAAGAGATGGTTAGGACAGGACAAGAGTGACAGGGTGATGAGGACAGTTGTGGGAGAATCAAGCAGATCAGATACCAGGGCACTACAGTTGCTGCTGTGATGTGCAGCAAGATGGGGTGATAAGCATACAGTCATGGTCGTGCCAATTTAATTTCAGTACTAGGCAAATGGGTGTCAGTGACCCTGAGGTCAAACCAGGAGTCTGACGCCAACGGGCCCGTCGAAGTTTGCAGCAGCCCAGTGTCAGGCAGATGGCCCCAGCTGGGTATCTGGGCGTCACAGCACCAGGTGCGTTAATGAGCAGTGTCTCTGCAGTGCTCAGACAGGCACCAACATTATTTAAGTCAGACAGCAGTGAGCGGAAGTGTCATGGTATGCAGGAACCCCCTGGCCATTGTGACAGAGTGACCATCCCATCAATGTGGGCTGGTGCCCCATCACTAAGCCGGGTGAGTGTGTGGTCCCGGAGACCCCCAGGGATGTCAGGGAGAATGCCCCCTGGAGAGTAGCTGTCAGGAAGGCATGTGGGCCCAGCGTGAGTGGAGGTCCGGGGCCCGATGTCCTGGGAGCCTTCCTGGTGGCTGTGCCTGTGGGTACAGGGAGGAGACTGGCAGGACTGGAGCATTTGGGGAGGAAAGGATGGGTTCTGGCTCCAAGGGCCCCTGCCTGAACTCAGAAGAGCAGCTGGTGGCTGCTCCCCACCCCTCGCACATAAGGTCCCCTGTGCTCTCTGCTCCCCAGTCACACACGTGCTCGGCGCTGCCCCCTGGCGCCCTCTGCTGGGAGCCTTTTCCTCAGTCATCCTTTTCCTGTCAGCCCTGACCTCCCTTTCCCTCCAGGAAATCTGTACTCAGTGGGGACAGTTTGAGCCACATAGGGGGTGAATCTGGTGCACTGCCAACACACCCTGTTGGGGCAGCTGGGAGAAGAGCCATGTCAACTCCTCTGGGGCCATAGTCCATGGGAATGATGTGTTCCTGTCGGGGGTCCTTCCACGAGGCCCCAGTGAGCAACTGGGCCTTCTTCCGGCTTCCTACAGGTGGGACAGTGGAGGCCCAAGGGCTGAGGACACGGCCAGTTCCTATGGCAGAACTGGGCTCATGCCCTGGCCTCCTGCTTTTCTCCTAGAAGTTTCTAGAAAGCTTTCCCACTACTGCCCTGGGGGCTCCTAGAGGGCCCTAGGTCTCAGTGTCCCTGTTCATCCATCCTGTTCACTTACTGCTACCCTCCCCAGTGGGGCCTGCAGGTAAACTTCCTCTCAGAAAGTGTGTGTGGGAGGAGGGCATGCTAAGTTCATGTTATTTTCGTGTGCAGTGGGCGAGAGTGACAAAGGGAGCAGAGGTGTAGGAACAGGGTGTGAGACCAGCATGGCTGTTGATGTCACTGCAGGGTCACAGTGCACACGTGTGTGGAAGGCACCACTTCATGGACATCTGTGGTTCCTACTGTGACTATGCAAATTGCGGGGAGAAGGCGTTTGTGGATATGTGTTAGTTAGCACATGGGGGTGGCAAGTGTTCATGTGTGCAAGTGTGCGCGCACGCATGTACACGGGGAGTGGGAGTGGCATGGTTCCTTTCTGAGTGACATGTCACCTTCCGTCTGGAGCCCTCTGCCTTGTCCTGCCCCTGACATGGAGGTCTCCTGTGTGCCTTGTGTCATGTGTGTCCCCAGGTTACATCCAGAAGATCAAGTCTGGAGAGGAGGATTTTGAATCTCTGGCTTCACAGTTCAGCGACTGCAGCTCGGCCAAGGCCAGGGGAGACCTGGGTGCCTTCAGCAGAGGTGTGCAAGTCATGGGCACCGCCAAGGCCTGGGGGGCCCTCTAGCCCACCAGTCAGGAGGGGCTTGGTGGGCTGGTCCCTGCCACAGGGGCCTTCAGGGCCCAGCAGGTGGCAGTACAGTCCCTCTCTCTGGTTTCAGAGGCTGCCTTACTGGTGGGGGGCGGGGGTGACTACGGAGCTTTCTGTTGTCATTCCCTCCTGGGGTGAGGAGTCAGTCTGTTTTTCTCTGCACAGTTGTCCCCATCACAGGCCCACCAAACTGCCAGTTGCCTCTCTTCCTTTTGTGGGTATAAGGCAGGGGCCCCTGAGAGCCCCAGAATCCTCCCTCCCACCCTCACAGGTGGGGAACCAGGTGTGATGGGAGGAAGGGTTGGATCAGCAGCCCTGAGTTTAGGCCTGTCTGCCTGGGACAGTGGGAAGGGAGGAGCAGAGGGGACCAGGCCTCTACCTCCCCCACCTCCTTTTTGTCCTTTTCCCCCCCATCCCTGAGATCCCAGGATACAGTGAGGGGCGTGGGGGAACCAGCAATGAGCTGCCACCTACTCCAGGAGGCAGACAGGACAAATGATGTGGCGGGGGCTGGGAACTGGGCCCAGGGAGACGAGTTCATCACTAAAATGCGTCTCTAAGCACACAATAGCGACAGCAGTTCTGCCCGCCATCCCTCATGCTGTCCTCAGGCTTCCTGGGGCCTCCTTAATGTCCCTGCCACCCCCAGCTGGGCCACTCAGCACTGCGACAGGGCCATAAACTGCATGACAGACGAGTGTGAGGCTGGGTGCAGGTAGGAGCCCCATCTGGCCGCCCTGCCCTGACCTGCGGCTGGTCTTGACCCCGTACACCGTCCTTCACACTTCCCCAGGTCAGATGCAGAAGCCGTTTGAAGAGGCCTCCTTTGCGCTGCGGACAGGGGAGATGAGCGGGCCCGTGTTCACGGATTCCGGCATCCACATCATCCTGCGCACGGAGTGAGGGGGCAGGCGGCCCTGGCCTGGCCCGCAGTGGAGCGGGGTGGGCTGGGGTGGCTGGGCCCAAAGACCCCGCTTCCCGCCGCCAGCTGGCCCATGACTTCACACAGTATTTATTGTTCCCAAAATGGCTGGGAGAGGGGCTCTGTGCCATTCAGGGCTCCCTGTTCGCCCCAGGCCGGGGCTGACCCCACCAGATTCCCCTCTTCTTTAGGAACTGACTTCAGAAGGGCAGTGGATTGGAGAGGCTCCCAGAGCTCCCAGACCCAGGGGGTGGGGGTGACCTGTCCCAAAGGGAAGGCCTAGTTAGCTGAGCTGCTCCCTGTCCCCCCCCAGGTCCAAGACGGGGCAGGAGGGCCTTACGTTGTTTCCAGTTATGCCATGTTCCTCTATTCAGTTGCAAAAAGCAAATGCTCCATGTGGGGCCCAGGCTGCTACTACCCGGGGCCCGCTGAGCAGCAGTGCAGCCCCGCCCCCCATTAAACCTGGAACCACTGCTCTGCTCTCCTGTGTCTCATTTTCTCCCTGCCGAGGGGAGGGGCACAGTCGGGGTGCAGTTTTCTCCCCCCATCTCCAGTGTCCAGGCTGCGTTTGCTCCCTAAGGAGCCTCTTCTCATCCTGAGCCTGGGGGTGTCCTCCAGACTCCAGGGAAGCAGGGCACTGTGTGGCATCATCGGTCCTCAAACTTCGGTGGTGAAGAATGTTCTTGGAATGCAAAGGCCCTGCCCTGACCTTATGCTCTGGATTCGGCGGGTCGGGCAGAGCTGGGGTGTGCACGGATCCCTGGAGAGCCAAATTTAAGGCCCTCTGCTCCGGAGGCCTTGCACACCCTCCAACATGGGCCGCCACAGTTGGAACATTACACCTGCTCCCTGATCCCTCCTCCCCTGTCACACCATAGCTCTTTTGGCAGGTTGTGCCTGCACCCTGCCACTTCCGCGGATGCCGTTACCATGGCAGCAGGGGGCAGCTGAGAGGAGAGGGGACTGCTGCCCAGCACATCTGCAATAAGGGATCCTGCCCAGCCCTCAGGCAGGGAGACTCTGCCAGCACATGGAGCAGAGGGCGTCCCTGTGGCAGATGGGGGGACATGGTGGGCTCTGCTTTTATGGTGCGAGGGACACCTGCCAGGGTAGGGATCCTCACAGCTGCCAGGGTCTGGGCTGGGGGCTCAGAGTTGGTTTTGGGGGTTTATGAGTCTATTAGAGGTGGTTATGTCCATTCTGCCCCCCGTTTCTTAATGGGGACCAGCTCACATCATGGGGATGGCAGGCTAGCAGGGCTTGGGGACCTGAGCAAAATAAAGCCTTATGTGGCTTAACCCCAAGAGAGGCCCCCAGGGCCAAGTCTCTAATAAAGGCCTGAGTCTCATAAACAGCCACCTGGGCCTATTCCCACCTGGCGGGTTTCTGGACTCTGCCAGCCACCTGCTGGGCACTTGTCATTAGGAGGATTTAATGAATTTCCTCGGCTCTGGCAGGCTGGGGCGAGCTGGCTAGTGGCTGCACCTCTAGGTAGACTCTTCCATTGCCTATGGGGCCACAAGGCAGGCAGCGAGGAGCCCTACTGTTCGCCTGAGCAGCTGCAGGATTGGAGCGGTCGTACCACTCCAAACCCAGTGGAGCCTCTGGGAGGGATCAGAAATGAGTGCCTGGGGGCCTTGCTGAGCTCTGCTCCCAGGCAGAGGGGCCACCAGAGAATGGGCCCGTGTGCTCTCAACACTGAGGGGAGGCGTGCTCGGGCTCCCAGGCGCCTGAGAGCTGCGCATTTTCCTGCGCAGGGCCGGCAGAAAAATGGTCTTTGTAGTGCTCCGTCACTGCGCATCCGCTTCGCGGGGGTGGGGTGTCCAAGCATGCTTGGAGCTGTACGGAGTTGTCCCTAAGTGTGACCAGTGTGACCCTGGATTCCCCGTCCGGGTGGGAACTCCTGCTTCTATGTACCCCTCCCCTTCCTCTGTGTAGCTGTGCAGACGCAGCTGTTAGATAAACGTGCCCCTGGAGCCCACTCAGTTGGGCAGATTCATGGTTCAGCAACTGTGGCTTCCCTCACCTGCCCCACACTCCCCGCTGTGCCCAGGCCTTCAGGGGGTACCAGGGGGTACCAGCGGATAGTCTTCCCTCCCTGCCAGACCGCCCCAGGGGGCTGCTGTCCACTCCTTTTTCCTGTGCACCAGCTCAGGCTTCTGTGGTCACAGGGCAGGACTAGGCCGGGCGCCCTTAGCTCAGGTTGTCACAGGTACTGCCACAGGATGGGGTGCAGGGCCTCCCTGGTGTAGCCAGGTACGCGTCATGAGAAGGAAAGTCAGGTGGCAGAGGGTGGCCTAAAACACGGATGACAGATGATCCTGGCCTGGCAAGGGGGTGGGGGCATTATTCCTGCCCATCCTTGGTTGGATATATGGTTGACCCTTGAACAACACCAGTGTTAGGGGTCCTGACACCCCAATGCAGTCAAAAATCCATGTATAACTTTTGGCTTCCACAAAACAATAACAGCCCACTGTTAACTGGAAGCCTTATGGATAAAAAACATTCGATTAACATGTATGTTATATGTGTTACATACTGTAGTCTTATGCTAAAGTAAGTTAGATAAAATTATTAAGAAAATCATAAGGAAAATACATTTACTGTATTAAAAACAAAATCCACATATAGATGGACCCATGTAGTTCAAACCCATGTTCAAGGGTCAACTGTATAACTATATAAGTAGTATACTTAGCATATTATATATATATATAGAGAGAGAGAGAGAGAGAGTATATAAGTAGTATACTTAGCATATTTTATATATATATATATATATATATATATATATGGTATATATATATATAGTATATAAATATATACAGTATAAAGTATGTT